AGACAGCTTGTCCCTGAGAGCTTGACTGTGTCTGCTGATCTCTTTGGTGGCTACTCTGTGGAATGGCAGTTCTTCATTGGCAGAGGACTCAGTGGAAAACATCCAAGAGTCATGGGCTCCTAAAAACTTTCTCCTGCAGAGAGTGGACCACAGCTGAAAGTCTGATGTAAAGAGAGTAATTCTTGATGCCCTTGGGCAGGTCTACAATGCTGCTGGGAGCCCTCTGTCCCCAGAGTCTGGGGTTTGGAGGAAGGTAAAAGGGATGAACAGATGCCCCCAAATCTGTGGTTCTGCTCCTGCAGACTCAACCACAAGACTTCTGTGAGTCTTGTGCTGTGTAGTTCAGCCTACAACGACTGCATGTTAACTGAAAATGTGTAGCATTTTCTTATTGCTATCCCTAAATAGTAATTTCTCAGTTCATGAATGCTTCTTTCCACAAACCATCAGGTTTGTGATCAGAATTGTAGAATGAGTTAAGTTCCTGAACCAAAGCACTATTGTAATACAGTATAACAGCTATTTCCATGGCATTTACATTGCATTAGGGTATTATGAATAATGTAGAAATGATTGAAAGTATTAGAAGTGTAGTAATATGGAAACGTATTAGAAGGTAAGTAATATGGAAATGCCGTGCTATTTTACACATGGAACTGGAACACCTGCAGATTTTAGAATCCCTATGGTCCCAGAACCAAACCCTCTGGGGACATGGAGGGAGGACCGGAGACAGTGTGCCCCCAGCCAGGCTGAGCGAATGTATTCACATAGGGTCAGAGGTGCTCCATTCTCCAGGAGGTGCTTCTGTCCCTCTGAGCAGAGCCTGGGGCTCACCCTGGAGTGACGGTCTGTGACTCATGCCTGGTGCTCTCTGATGATGACATGGACACTTACCTAGAGCCATCCATGTCCTGGGCACTTTCCTTGCTCCAGAGGGAGGTGATATCAGATGGGAGGCAGAGCCGTTCTCATGAGGCTATGAACTCCAGCAGTAGCATTTCCGACTGCATCACCATCCTCTGCCTGATTCATTAGCAGCAACATAAACGCTGCTCAGGAGGGGAAGGGTTTATCCTGGTGAGGATTTTAAGGAGAATTGGTTCAGATCTTCCATTTACCATGCTGAGAGTCAAAACAGTAGTGGCATGACATGGCATCTGCTGCGATCGTACTAGGACCTGCTCTAGGCTGGTGGCTTTCTTACTTATGGAGCATCTGTGGCTCAGCCTTGGAAGGCTGGGCTGGAGAAGAAGTACATTGCTATAGAGTGGTAAGTTTCCCCTAAGGTGTATGAATTAAAGGCTTGGTCCCCGTGTGACCCATGGTGCTGTAGCCAGGAGGTGGTGGAACCTCTAAGATACAAAACTGAGCATGAATCCTTAGGTCACAAAGATGTGATCCAGAAGAGGATTGTGGGACCCCCACTTCCTTCTTGTTTACTGGCTCAAGAGGCAGGGTTTTGCCCCCAGCAAATGCACCTGCCATGATATGCATCCTCGGCACAGGCCCAGAGCAAGAGTCAAGTGAGGATCACAGATGAAACCTCCTAAACCAAACCACAATGAGCCCTTTCTCTTTATAAGTGAATCATGTCAGTGATTTCACTGTAGCAATGAGGAGCTGCCTAGTCCAGTCTTGCTGAGGATGGGAAGATTCCATGGCCCAGCAGTCTACCCACCTTGGAGCTGATCCAGTCACACCCGTGTGTCTCACATGTGGAACAGGGATGGCAGCGGTGCTGCCGTGGGGCAGGTTGGAACCCTCCAAGATGAGGCTGGTAACTGGTCAGCCCTGAATAGCAGCTTAATGAAAACTATTCCCTGCCTATAAGGAAAATGAGAACAGCCTGGCAAGGCAGAGCTGGCCTTGCAAGTGACTCTACCCTGTGATTCTTCACAGTTGCCACTTACTGTCCTGTGCTTTATAGCTTTGCGGCTATTTAATAAGAAAAACTCTCTCCCAATTAACTGGGACTTGCCTCCTCTTGCTCCTCTTCCTCTTCCTTTTCCTCCTCCTCCTCCTTTTTCTCCTTCTTTCAAAGCAGGGTCTCATTATGTTGAGCAGGCTGACCGTGAACTCCTGCACTAAAGCTGTCCTCCCTCCTCAGCCTCCAGGAAGCTGGGACTACAGGTGCCACTACACCCAGCTCCCTAGCCTTTGATGCCATGGCTGTGTTTGTTTTCAGCTTGGTTCTTTAATGGTTTCTAGAACTCAATTTCCTTTTCTTGCCTCGTTTCATTAGGCAATGATTTTTTGATTTAAAAATAATTAGCAAATAAGAAACTTGTAAGGAAATAATGACAAGCACTCATTATCTCCCTCCAGGTATTGGAGGCCGGAGCCCAGCCTTCACCAACAAACACCACCATGGATGAGGGACATGGTGTTTCCTGCTCTCATGGGAAGGGGTGCATGGTGCCCCAGAATGCATGGTGCAATGTAGGAGACAAGCTTGAAACCAGACTGAACAGGCTTTAGATCTTATTGATTTGGCATAAGAATTCGGCTACTGATTAAGATTATGAGTTACTCCAAGGTGTAAGTGTGAATTGCTAACTCACCTTTAGGGAGACAGACTTCCCTGTGCCAATTGTTCCAACTGAGGTCTCAATGACCTGCAGCTGAGGAATTATGACTGTGCAATCATTGTCCAAAATCAAATGTTAGCTAGATAAGAGGTGGCTCCTTAGCTATGCCGTGCAAGATAGCACTGGTGCCTTGTTAACTGTGGTCTAGCCTTCAAAAATATGCATAGCTACTGCCTTTTTCCAAGCCTGGCTCATCAAGTGCATTAGTTTTCCGATGCCCTCCATCTGCCTTCACGTCCCCTTGCTATGCAGTATAATCATAAACACTGACTAATCCAGTGCCTGTGCTCTTAGCCATGACAGAGCTAAGATCAGATGGTCTCTAGCCAGGGGAGAGCTAAAGGTCCATTCCCTGCCCCCTTAAGCAATAGACTATTGTTCATTCTTATATATTATTCTTTCAGTTCCTGCTGTCCCCTCATCAGGCAACTGGGCATCCCCAAGTAACTGGTCAGGGTATCAACCCAACAGATAGGGGACAGCAAGGATGCATTTTACTGAGGGCTGGAATGTCTGATCTGAGGTGGGGCTTAAGTAGATTGGGTGATGGTCCCAGTTGATGGTGTAGCCAAGTGGATGATTTGCAGCGAGTGTTCATGGAATCTTGGGAAGAAACTGGATGCTTTCTATTGAGGAGCTGATGGGTCTTTTTGGAAGTTGCTGTCAGGAATAATTAAGCCATTTGTCTGGTCCCCAGGCTCCTGGAACAGCCAGTGCTAATGAAAACCCGGCAGGTAACAAAATCCTGCAAACATGGATGTTGAGTGGGGCACCTCTGGGTGTGTGTGTGTGTGTGTGTGTGTGTGTGTGTGTGTGCCTGGCAGGGTGTGACAAACCGATGGGTCCCATTCTCCCAGGATATGTAGGGACATCTGTTAACATCACAATCCTGCATGTGTTCCTTCAGATTACAGTGTACAACAGCTAAAATGAACAGCACTAACATTGGAGAGGGAAAGCATGGCTTTCTTCATGCCATGCTCTATGGATGTTGAGGGGCACCTCTGGGTGTGTGTGTGTGTGTGTGTGTGTGTGTGTGTGTGTGCCTGGCAGGGTGTGACAAACCGATGGGTCCCATTCTCCCAGGATATGTAGGGACATCTGTTAACATCACAATCCTGCATGTGTTCCTTCAGATTACAGTGTACAACAGCTAAAATGAACAGCACTAACATTGGAGAGGGAAAGCATGGCTTTCTTCATGCCATGCTCTGCTCAGGCATCTCGGGGTGACATTTCCATGTGGATCTCAGTGCCCAGGGGGAGCCCAGAGCCCCAAGTGGCCTCCGCATCTCCCTTGCCAGGCTGGTCTCTTCCTTGTCCTGGAACATGTGCCCTCCCTGAGTGGCACTGTCTGGCCACTTCAACCTCCGCCCAGTCCTCACTTCTAGTCCCGGGCCAGCCCTGTCTCTGCCTCAGGGAGCTGAGGCAGCACTGCTTGTGGGCAATGCCTGGCCATGAGGGGCCAGATCCTAAGAGCTGCATCTGCTTCCAGACACAGGAATCGCTAAGAGAGTGGCTCGCACAGGGAGGCTCATTCCCTAGGAGCCTGGGAAGAAAGAAAAGGGTGTGTGGCACCGGGTGTGAGTTGTTATATGTGTGTATCTGTGGTGCAGGGCTGTCTGTGAGTCTGTGTGTGTGTGTGTGTGTGTGTGTGTACGATGTGTGATAGAAAAATATAATGTGTGTTTAAATTTAAAATCTTTATTACAATAAAGGTTACAGTACTATGAATGTACCTCAAAATCCAACCCCTCCCTTTGAACACACTTATCCTGTCATCCTCGCTGCTTTCGGAAGCAGTTTTGGAGTCCTTTTTCGCGAGTGTCTCTACGTGCTGTCACGGCTGCCCTGAGGTCCCGAATCAATTAAACAGGTCTCCCCTTCGTGGTCATCTTGACTTTGGGGAAGGGCTGGAAGTCGCACGGTGATAGAGGTGGTGAATGAGGTGGATGAGGATGTAATCTTTCAATGAGCCTGGCTTTCTGTCTGTCGGTACTGGGCAGAAACGTTAACAGTATTTTTTAGCACACCTCATGAAGATACTCATGAAATATAAGAGCTGCTTTAGAGAGAGGCAGGAATGATGAGGTAAGAGTAGTTAAAGCAAGGAGGGTTCTGATGAGGGTTAATGGCAATGTGGCTTTTACTGTTGTGAATTTTTACTATTCAAGCATTCACTGAATTTTTTGGAGGGTACTGGGGATCGAACTCGGGCCCTTGTGCTTGCGAGGCTGGCAGCGAAAGCAGTGAGCCAAATCCCTGACCCCCAGCATTCACTATATTTTGATCTCTGTACCTCTGTGTGGGGAGTGCAGCGTCCTTGTCTGTATTTAGGGATACGTGTGGGTTTTGTGTGTACTGTTGTCTATGACCCTATGTGGGTCTGAGACTTATTGGATTCACAGATAAAAATAAGTGTAGAATATTTAATCCACATTTTAAATTTCCCTTTCGGATGAAAAAAATCACACAAGGAAGGTGCTGAATATCCCGATTTATGCTGAATGTGTTGTGTTGCCAGCAGTCATCACATCTCTCACCTGGCACATTTTTGTTCCTGGGGGTTATTTCTGGCCCTGTCCCACCTGCCCCAGGTGAGGCGTGGGGGTGTAAAATGCAGCTTATGTCCCACAGAAACCCAAACCCACTCCCTGAGGGGCTTCAAATGACCAGCAGGTGGGGACAGGCTCAGGTCAGAAGTGACACCACTTGTCCTTCACCACAGGACAAGGAGGTCCTTCAAGATGCTGTCACCTCCCTGGGGCTGAGGAGGTCATAAAGAAGCGACTTCAAAGAGCCAGGAGATAAGGGCAGACTCCCGAGAAGTTCTGGTTCCAAGGGAAGCTGAGTGAAGACAGGGACAGGGCTGGAAGGAGGGGCTCTGAGACTTGTCCCCCAGGTCCCAGCAGGCTGGCCTTGGGGAGTGGGAGGTGTAGAACAGGATCTCAGTGGGGCGGCATCCACATGAAATTCTTCAAAACACCAGTTTCTATCATTTAATGTTAGCGCTGCAGAAGAAAGAGAAGATCAGGAGCAAAGCAAAGCCAACCAACAGCCCAGTCATCTGGGTGGAGACCTGAGGGCACACTGATCTCATCAGAGAGAGGACAGTTTTAAAATGGGACTCTCCGATGGCACGGGGCAAGAAGATGGCGTTCGGGAAGGTGGAGCAGCCAACCAATTGTAGTTCAGCCACAGTCGCTGAGCTACACAGGAGTTTAAAGAGGCCAGAGCGTAAGACAAGATGGCCTCAAAAGACACCCTTTCCTGCTAAGACATATAGGGCCTGTGCCCACAGCGGAGGGACAGGGGCAGGGGCAGCAGACCATTCCTACAGTGCTGCTGGTCCAGAGAGGCGACATTCCTAGGTGACCTTGGCCTGGTAGCTGTGGACCCTTGTGTACTCTGGTGCTGCTGGCCTGCCATCTCTTGGGCTTGAATGTCCTTGGAAGTCTCAGGCTTTCCTGACTCTAGTTCTACTTAAGGAGGAACTGGAGCCCAGACCCCTGCTTGATTGCAGGGAGGATGCAGGGCTGTTCACAAAATACGGCAAGCATGTAATTCGTCAGAGCAATACGAGGACAATCTGCATATCCGTTTTGGTGTCCTTCGGCCCCCTTACAGCCGCAGACGACCATGACCTCCCAGGTCTATGACACCATGTGAAGGCACATGTGTGATGTGAGACTAAAAAGAATTTCCCTCAAGAGCTCTTTCTGTAGTTAGGATGTGGTCAAAGACTGGCTTGCCTGTCTGGTGTGTGGAGTGTTGTTTGGTGGTGGGGAGAAATGGGCACAAATCCATCCCGAGTGAAAAGCTGAGTTCTATTGTTGGAGGGGCCTCCAGGGCCCTAATACAGGACAGCGCCTGACCAAGTCCCCTGGCCTGTGTGAAAGTGCTGAGCCTGGTGGCACACACTGCCCCAACGGGAACCCAGCCCGGCCTACGGGCAGAGCTGCTGATGCGTGTGCCTGTTACCTGGAGGCAGGAGGAGGCGTGCAGGGCAGAGCAGGCTGGCATCCGGAGCAGTTCTTATTCACACCCAAGTACCCCGGAAGTCATGCTTATGCCTGAAAAATGCTTCTGCAGGCCTTGGCTGGGTAAGGAGGCTTGTGAGTCCTATCCCACACTGCAATCAAACCCCGAGTAAGCAGCACATCCGCCTGACTTCCAGCCCTAGGTAACAGATGACAGACTGGCGTGCAGACCAGTCCGTCACCACCCTGTCCGCCTTACACGTCAGAGGACAGTAGATGGATGCTGCTGGTCAGGTGCCTTGGGACAAAGATGCAGATGCCAGTCCTCTGAAGGGGAGGATGGAGAACTGTAATGGATAGAGAGGCTGAGAGAGTTCAGGGTCATCGGACAGGAGACTTCCAGCAAAGCAGACACTGATGCAGCACGGAGGGGATCCAGGAGGTCCAGCCCTGCCACGGTGTGGAGCATGTGCAGATGCTGAATGGAAGGCTCTCAGGTCTGTGCAGGCCCAACCAGGGGCCAGAAATGCTCACTGCCAGCCACAGTTGGTCCCTCAGAAGTGGGTTGGCTGGGAGCTTGAAGGGCCTGTGCTCATTCTGAACAGTTTTCCACTTTTAAACAAAGCTTCGGACTTTGATAGTGGTGGGTGGTGTTGTTTAGATCAACTGTCCTGGAGAGGACAACTAGAAAAGCCCAGAACATGTAACGAACAGTTCGTGAAGGCATCAGAAGGCTGACAGTCTGTGAGGAGCACCCGGCCTGGGTCAGAAGGAGCCCAGGCTGCCTTAAGGTCTGCCTGTCCCCTGAGGCTCTGGTGAGCCCAGAGTCAGCAGTGTCCAGGGCTGAGCAGAGGTAGGTGGGGCCCAGCGAAGGACCCAGAAGGGTTCACCTCAGAAGTCAAGTGAGGCCTCCACATGCACCTCCCAGTCCTGTCACCTGCAAGGAACATGCAGACAGCACATGCACGCTGACTCAGCCATGTGCTGTGCTTTGCAACAAAGACTCTGTCTGGGAAGAGGGTCTGTGATCGCAATGGACCATGAGTGGAGGTGGGGTGGGCCAGGAGGGTCAGGCAGGAATTTCCGTCAATCACTCTGTATTTCCCTCAGCCTCCTGTGTTACAAGCACAACCCTAGGTCCTTGTGCTCTTGTCTCTTCTGCAGCGTGGGAACAGGTGTTGCTAGCCAAGACTGCCTTGCTTTTTGTGTGTACTGTGTGTGGTGCAGTGTGTGTATATGTGTGTGCTGCGGAGCACATGTGTATGTATGTCATGTGTGGTATTTGTGGTTTATGCTTTACTGTATGTGTAGCTTGTGACCTGTGTCATTTGGTGTGTGTATTATGATATATGCGTGAATGTGCTGTTTACTGTGTATATGTGCATGGTGTATTTGCTTCGGAGCGTGCATATGTGTGTACATATATGTGATATGTACTGTGTATAATGCACACATGGTGTACAACTGTATATGTTTATGGAATGTATGTTGTGTGTATACATATGGTATATGTGCTGTGTGGTGTGCATGTACATTGTACTTATGTAGTTTGGTATGTGTGTGTACATGTGTGGCGTGTGAATGTGGTTTAGTGTGTGTGTATGTGTGGTGTCTGTGTGTGTTAGGGTGTGTGTGGTATGTATGCACGTTATTTGGTACGTGCATGTGTATGTGTGTAACATGCCTTATGGTTTGTGTGTATTTGGTTTGGCGTGTGATGTTTGTTGTGTATACATGTTGTGCTGTGTATGTGGTGTGTGCACAGTATTGTGTTTGTGTGTATGTGTGTGGCTCTCTACAGGGATGTTGGCATGTGCTTGCTAAGAAGGGCGACACGGAGGAAGCTGTGCCCTACAGGGAGGTATCTCATGGCTCAGGGTGACCTCTGGGCCGAGGTCTCAGGGAGGACAGCACCTTCCTGCAGAGTCCCCGCGGACTCTTCTGCTGCCCATGCCACCTTGGCCGCTTTCTGGGCCTCTGCTTTCCCCACCACCCCATCCTCTCCACCGGCGCAGGTGTGTTCCCCGCACCTCGCTTAGCCCTTGGCTATTTTTGGTTTTTCCTTTATATTCTAACTTTATATCTTATGTGGCCAGATAAACATAAGCATTTTCTACTGTCAAATAGCTTTCATTTTTTCTTTCCACTTCTTTTGTGCTTTTCTCCATATTGGAATTAGTTAACTATTAACTTATTTAATGGATATTTCTGGTGTGGCTAATATACAACTACGCTTATTTTGACGAGTGAAAAATGAGACAAGATTTAAATTAAATAATTTTCCTTAAAAACTCTATCAAAATCCCCAATTCTACTTATTAAATAATGCTTTTTTTTTTTTTTTTTAGTGGAGATCAAACTCAGTCCATTGCTGTTGCGAGGCAGGCAGCGAAACCACTGAGCCAAATTCCTGGCCCAATCCATTCTTAATTTATATATTCTGTTTTTTTCTAAAAGGCAATTTTGAGTTATAATTTACATAACATAAAACTCACATTTTAAGTGTAGCATTCAGTAAATTTTAGTAAATATAGTTACACAACCACCTCCACAATCCAGTTTTAGGACATTTTCATCCTTCTCAAATTGTGCGTCCATTTGCCTCAAAACCTTGATGCTACATTGCCCCAGCAACTCCAGGCAACCTTTGATCTGTTCTCTGTCTCTACAGATCTGTCCTTTGTACACAATTCCTGTTAATGAAATCATATAGTAGGTGGTCTTTTTACTTGGCTTCTTTCACTTAGTATCAAGGTTTTTGAAATTCATCCATCTTGTAGTAGCTTTGTTTCTTTTCATTGGTGAATAATATCCCATTGCATGGATATACTAGTTTATTTGTTCATCCATCAGTTGATGGATGTTTGAATGCTTTCCATGTTTTGGCTGTTAATAATGTTACTATGAACACTGCCATATAAATCTTTGTGTGGTTGAATATGTGTATTTCTGAGCAGAAGCGGAAGAGCCAGCAGGGCCGAAAAAGCTGGCACAGCAGACAGATGAGCAGCAGGCTGCAGGCCCTCACCCAGAACAGCCTTCTTAGAGTAGATTCCTAGGAGTGAAATCCTCGGTCATGTTCATATTTAACATAAAAAACCTACCCAACTGTTGTCCATGGTAGCTGTACCATTTTACATTCCCACGGGCAATGAATGAAGGTTTCATTTGCTTCACCACTCCTTGCTAACGTCTGTCTTTTTTTAAAATCACATCTGTTTGTATTTTAGATGCATGTATATTAACAGTTCTACTTTAAGAGGGACTATGATTTCTTCCTTCTTCTGCAAGGGAAAACTCTTTCTGTACCTAATGCATTCTTTTCTTAGGTCCCAGTCACTTCCATGAAAACTCATTTTCCCTAAAACATAACATTAAATGACTACTGTCCATTTCTTGTCCAATTCCTGGAAATAATTTGAACTCAGGGTGAAGGAAATTTGGGCTTTGTCCTTTGAGCTTTGTGGTTGCTCTCTATCTGCCAAGTCCTTGAGACCCTTGACTCCGGAACCCCCAAAGCCCCTTTTCATACAGGCTGAGTAAGGCTTTTCTCCATGTTAATAATTCAGAAGGTTCTTCTTCAGCCGCTTTGCTCTATGACCTTTACCCCAGCTTTGAGCTACTTTAGGACACCAGGCTGCCCCCGCCAGTGGGCCGAGCCCAGGATGCAGAAGGCTGATCTGGGTAGGGCCTGCAGCCTGCTGCTCCTCTGTCCGCTGTGCCAGCTTTTTCAGCCCTGCTGGCTCTTCCGCTTCCGCTCAGTGCCCTGGGGCTTGCCTGGTCACTGTGTCCTTGAAAATTCTGGGTTTTTCCACTGTGCAGGATGGAATTTTTTTGTGTGTGGAGTTCCTCCTGCACAGACTGTTTTGCCACCTGACTGGAAGAATCAGGCAAGGGGAGGAAGAAAAGACTTCTCTGGGTCAGGTGACTGTCTCCAGTCGCTATTTCTGGCTCAGCCGTCTCTCCAGGACACGCAAGTGTCTGACCGTGGTCTGCAGAACAGAGCAGCACCAAGAAGGAGCAGGTAACTGCACAAATGGATGCTAACTTCTGCCATGATCTGGTGGAGACCAGGCAGACAGACAAAATGGGAATAGGCTATTAACCAAAGTGCTGAGGCTGTTTCCTGAATTAGAGTACAATGGTCTCACCAGGGACACAATGTTCTCCTCCAGGAGCCCCCGAGGGTAGCTTAGGGGTTCACAGGAAGAATTTCACAGTATACCTGGAATCTTTTCTTCTTAAAAAAAAAACAACCCTATATTATTATATCTGGGTATCCTAGCCAGCTTTCCATTGCTGTAACAAACACCTGTGATAATAAATTCACTTAAAAAGAGGAAAGGTTTATCTTGGACTTGGAATTTTCAGTCCATGATCTGTGGCCCTATTGCCTTTGGGTCCATGGTGAGGAGCACAGCACAGCAGGACACATGTGGAAGAAGCTGTCACCTCAGAGAGGCTGGGATGCAAAGAAAGAGGGAAGGGAAAGGCAGCGCCCTAGCATCTCCTTCCAGGCCAGCCACCGTAATGTCACTTGCTCCCATGAGGCCCCACTACAAATGTCCACTACCTCCAAATAGTGCCAGTGCTGGGGACCAAGCCCCCCACATATGGCCTTTTGGGGACATTCAAGTTCCAAATAATAGCACCATGTGACACTTTTTATAGTGACATTTTTATGTACATACATATTAAGAGGCCTGTGAGCTGTGTCCTTAGAGTTTGATAAAACCCTTATCTCCATCTCTCACTCATTTACCACTGAAGATGCCGGAAGCAGGCAACATTTTGGAGTTTTGATCTCGATCCAGAAAACTTGCTAATGCATTAAAATTGTTTGTTTTAAAGACAGGGTCTTACTCTGTAGTTCAGGCTGGCCTTGAACTCACTGTATAGCCCAGGCTGGCCTTGATCTCTTAAGAGATCCTCATGCCTCAGCCTCACAAGAGCTGGAATTATAGATGTGTGCCACCATGCCAAAATTTTGGTGATTTTGTTAGATCCTTTTGTATTTTCATCCTAGAAAATAATATTATTCATGAGATTGGTTGTTATATTTTCTCCCTTGACAACTTTTGTTTTTTACATTCTTTTCTTGTTCTGCAATGGCTCTAGCCTTCTGTACAGTACTGATCAGTTCCATTGGGACCAGTGTCTCAGTCCCCAGGGAAACTTAGACCACTGAGCACTAACTGAGATGTCTGGGTTCCTGTGCTAGGGGAAGAGATTGTTTTCTAAAGTATCTAAAATGTCCCAAGTAGGTGGGCTTTTATCATATACTTTTCTGCATCTGTTGAGATGACTTTATATGATTCAGAAATTCCCTATCTTATTCATGTGACAAGATGTTTTGATTTCTCAAAGATTGCTATTTATTCAACTTTGCATTCTTGGAGTAAATTCAATTTAGTTGGGATGTGTTATCCTTGTTTTATATACTGCTGGACTTGGGTTACCAATAACATAATATTTGGGATTTTGTGTCTTTGTTCATATAAGAAATCAATCTGTAATTTCCCTTTCTTTTCATGTCCTCATCGGGTTTGGGGATTGTGATTACACAGGGCCTGACAAGCTGAGTTAGGAATCATTTCCTCTTTTGCTATTTTCAAGAGCACGCTCTCCCTAAAACTGATAGAATCCCCCCTTAAAACCATCTAGGCAGAATGTTTTCTTGTGAGAAGGTCTTGGGGTGTGGATATCATCTCTTATAAGATATAGGCTATTTGTATTTTATTTCTATGTGTGTCAGTTTTGGAATTTCTTTTCTATTTATGCTGTGTCTTTTATCTATAATTTAAATTCTGTGGCACTAGAGTTGTTCACAGATCCTTATATTGGCTTCTCACAGGCTGTTGCTTGCTCCTGGACAGGTCACAGTCCGGCTGAGTCTCCAAGGCCACCAGGAGAATCTCCTAATGGGTGTGGAAGGGAGTCCTAGGCATTATACCCAAATGCAGAGGGACATGTGAGAAGATAGAAAGCAGAGTGGCTGCAGAATGGTAAAAAAGAGAGCAAAACTTCACTGATTCTTAGAGATTTTGTGGATAGAGACAAGATACCACACAGGCATTATGCTGGGACCTGAATCTGCCAAAGAGAAAGATTTTCTGGAATCTAACCCCATCCTAGGTTTGAGAAACACTGGATCGGCAGTTTGCCCCCCCCCCATGGACAGGATTTAGAGCACCCTGTTGTGTCAGTTTCTAGCCATTGAATTTAACCTTAGTCCTGCTGATGTTGAGCTGAGGTGTAGCTCAGTGTAGGGCACTTGCCTAGCATGTGTGAGACCCTGGGTTTAATACAGAGCACTACAAGGGGAAAAAAAACCAAAAACAAACAAACAAACAAAAAAACAATTGATGCTTATCTTCCCTGAAAGAATGCTCCTTTTGTTGTAAAGAAGGCTTCCCCACATGCCCGATTTCTAAAGGAGCCTCTGTTTTCCTGATAGTAGATCCACTTTGCATCCAAACATGCCCATCTTTGCTTTTATGTCAGCCTCATTTGTGACTGGTTGGCCTACACATCCTGTGGCCACACTCAGAAGGAAAGGATGGCACAGGTCTGGTGACTGGGGATCACCTTGTAGGCGTCCACAGCAGGGATCTCAGGGAACAGCCCTTTGAGGAACTGCTCTCCCAGCCCTTTGTATTACTGAGATGGGATGTCCGTGACCTATACAATCTCTTTGGAAATGTATTCTGGAAATGTCCCCCAAGTGCTCCCCAAAGGGCACTGCCACGCTGAGGGGTTGGATGTTGATGTGTCCAGTGGGGCTCTGGAGAGCACTGCAGAGGGACGCAGGCGGGGAGTGGGCAGTGTAGAGGGCTCAGACCAGGTTCTGACTCCTGCAGGCTGTGGCAGCCTCTGGTGCACGGGTGAGGTGGTAGTTGGCCATGGCCCTTCTCTGGCCTCAGTCATCTGGCCATGTGGCCAGGGGTGCTGGGAGACTGGATGGCTTTTAACAGGGTGTTGGCGAGTCCTGTCAGACCTTCTGGATGAGGTGGCAGGCAACACCTTCCCTACAGATGAGCAGTAATCTGCAGTGCTGTTCCCAGTTGTATTCTGGAAACCTACACCTACTGCACTGAAAGTAGCCAAGGGGGTTCTTTAAGAAACCTGTGTCAAAGGAAACCATACTCTGCAAGTCCTCCCAGCATGCTGGATTGACTCCAAGGACCACACACGCTGGCTGCCTGCCTTTTCCCCTGGCCTTGGCTGGCTCTCTCCTCTTTCACCCTCAGGGCTTCTACTTCCTCCAAGCCTGCTGTTCTTTTACTTTGGGGACAGTCCCAGCTCACCCTGGATGACCTTGTACCAGCTGTTACTTTCTTCCTGCTCATCAGATTTAAAACTTTAATCAGAGCCTTCCCTATCCCAGGACCACCATATTTGAGGAGCTGGAGTATACTGACCAGATAATTCCACTTTAATTTTCTGCATTTCAGTGGTGACTTTCATGAAATTTTTATTCTCTGTCTTGTTCATTGTGCCCCTGCCTCACACGTACGCTGTGTGGTGTGACCTCCTCTGTCTTCTTCATCTCTGTCTCCCAGGCATCAAAGCTGTGGGGACAGAACAAGGCCAGTAGTCACTCTGTGATGGATGACATGAATCAATCAAGACTAACAGAGACAGGCTCAAGGATATGATATGAATTCATGGACTTACCTTGACCTTTCAGGGAAAGAATCACACAGTTCTTATTTTTGGATGTGAATAAGGTTGGCTCTGCAGCTCTCTGCCTTCCAGGACTGCTCAGGCCCTGTCGGGATCTGCAGAATCCCTGGGTCTGACAGTTTGGTCCCTGCTCCTAGAGCTCAGCTGCTGGGGTTCCATGCACCACTTTCTGGGAAGCAGGAGCCTCTTCAGTGCTCCTGCTGCCCTGGCTGTGGCCTCATGGGGCCAAGCACCATGGAGAAGTAGAGCCCCTAGCCAGTTGCAGGCAGCATTCTCCTTGGCCTCCTTGCTGATTTTGGTTTGACTCTTGGCTAAACAGCTGGATGACTAGAGGCAAATGCTTTCCTCTGCCTCAGTCTTCTCATCTGTGCAATCAGGAGCCTGATGCTATCTTAGCTCTGGGAAGATGAAATGAAAAAATACACTCCATATGTTTAGGTTCTCAGATATATCCAGGGCTTGGTTCATGTCACTGAATAGGAACTAAGACAGAAGTGAGGAATCAACAGTTTAGGGGCAGAATGCTTAAGAGGGTACAGGTGTGCTTGCTGTGGGGAGGACCCACCTTGCAGGGAAGCTGGGCATGTTGGAGGCAGCCTGGGGCAAGTGGATGGACTTCCAGCAAGGTGGTCCTGGGATGTAAGGAACCAAGGGAGAGAGCCTGCAACCAGGTGTTCAGTCTAGTTTCCCTAGCTCCAGGGGAAGGCCAGTTGGGAGTAGGGGGAGTTGGGGTGCTGTCTGCATGGGGAAAGGACCAGGCAGGCCTGGGACTGTGCATCCTGGCTCTACGGGGCAGGTGTTTCACCCCTGCTTGAACCTGTTGTGATAAACCTAGGAACAGCCAGCCTCACCACCTTTCTGCTTCAGTGTGGGCCAGATGGCTGTGTGGGGACAGCAGTGGCACCATGGGAGTGGCCTCATGGATGGGTCTGCACATTTGGAGCAGGGGTAGGTGCAGCCACACAGCCGGGTCAGAGAGGAATCCAGAATCTGGCCTTCTTTGCATCATGATACGTTCCCACAGAGCAGGGATTCCATACAGAGCAGCTTCCAGTGATTGTCATCACGATGCTTCCAGCAATGGCAGAAAAGTATCTGAAAGTGGAGAAAGCACACCAACCGATGCAATGTAGGAGGTGAACTTCAAGGCTTTGTACCTGGTGTCCATTAGCCCTCCTTGGTTTCCATGAGAGGCCCAATGTGGCCCCGCTGCTTTTCCAGACAAGGTCCCCAAGGGAGAAGGGTAGGTGGGTCTGTATTAATTTCTGTCGCTGCTTTTAAAAATACCTGAGAAAGCCAATTTAAAGGAGGACAGGTTTATTTGGCTCCTGGCTTCAGAGGTTTGAGGCCATGGTCAGCTGCCTCTATGACGCTGTATCAGCGATAAGGCAGAACAGCATGGAGGAGCCCATAGCCCAGGAAGGCTGCTCATTTCCTGGTAGCAAGGATGCAGTGAGACCAGGGAACCTAGCATTGGGGGACAAGATATATTCTCTAAAGACACATTTCCACGACTCACTACCTTTCACCGTGTTTGCCATGGATATCTATCCACATTGAATCAGTTCTTTCATCTCACCTGAATGTAGTTCAGTATGGATCCCTAAGTGGCTTAGAGCCAGTCGGCATCACAATGTGCCATAGTCTGATTGGTTAAAATCAGAATTTTGTTTCTCAGCTCTGGGGGCTGAAAGTCCAAGATCAGGCCTCTGGCAGATCTGGAATCTGATGAAGACTCACATGGCTGAGAGAAGATAACCAGCAAGCTCTCCAGGGCCTCTTTTATAAGGAACTAACTGTCAGAATAAGAGCCCCAACTTCATGACATCATCACTACACAAAGGTTCCATCTCCTTGAACCATCAGGCTGAGGTCAGGAATCCAATGTGTGATCTGGGGGTGGAGCCACAAACTCTCCCCCTTGCAATACCATGCAAGGACATGAGACTTCATGAATGCCAGGTATGTTGTGGAAAATAATAAAATATGAAATATATCTCCCAAGCTGTTAACTGTATGATACGCCGAGTCCTTGTTCTCTAGAAATCGAGGAATGAGTCCTAGGAAAGATGGAGGTTAAAAGCAGTAAGATATTTATTGATAGGAAAGCTCCTGAGGGGCAGGAGGGGTCCCAAGTGGGGAGCCCAAGAATCCCACTTTACAGAGAAGTTTTATAGGGTGAAACCCATGTGGGTACAACATGGGCCACAGCCTTGAACGTCCAATAAGGTTACAAGTATAGTCACTTAGGTAATGGTGGTCCAGTTGGGAAGCAAGTCATGTATTAAGTGTGGATGGAAAGAACAAGGGTTCTCCTAGGAAGCAATGGGTCCAGAGGTCTCTGGTCACCCCCAGGGTGGCTGATACCTATCTATACTTCACTGAGCCCAGTTCTTTGAAGAAGTATGTGGGTGTGGTCATCTTGTCTGCATCGTGAGGCCTGGTTTTCAGCCAAAGTGCAGCTGTGATGTGTTTTACCTTTGTCCTGGCCCTCTTGAGGGCTTAGCCTTATCTGACTGCCTACAATATTTTTCCTAGCTCATCTGTCTATAATAGGTGTACTCAAAGCATACTATGACCATAGCTTCACTTGGCAGGGACTTGCTCTGGTATTAATACACTTGTTCCCCACCTAGGCTTTGGTGAGAGACCTGGACCAGCCCCACCCTTCGAATCCCAAGTAGCCACTCATTGAGCTTTCTCAGCCTGCACTTACTATTCCAGTCCCTCCCAGTCCTTCAAATAAGTTCCCAGGTGGTGTGTGCATGATGCAGTGAAAATTTAACTCATTTAACTCAATGGCCTCAGTGCTCTGGGTTTGGAGGTGAGCAGCATCCCCTCTGCCGACTGTTAATGCTCACAATGCTGGAAACAGCCTGTAAACACATTCATGATCACTACTTGTCTCCCACTCAGTCCCAGGTGTGGCACAGGTTTTTGTGCTGCATGAGACAGGCAAGTAACTGCCATTTGTGCTCCCTTTCTCGTTGGGGAGATACTTTAAGCAATGCTATATGAATAACAAGTCCCCAAGGAACTTGTTGAAAGATAAATACAGAGAAGCCTCAGGTTGTCCTGCGAGAGGATTTGACCTTATCTGGGAAGATGGGAAACTGCAATTCCAGAGGAAGAGAGGAGTTAAGTAGATGAGGGTGTGTCAGGGTGGGACAAATGCAGGATCATAAAACCCAGTGGAAAATTACAAGGTGGGCATGAGGTGGGACAAAACTATGACCGACCAATAAGATTAGAAGTGTAGTCACCCAGGTAATACTGATTAAAGGAGGATCACATGGGAATACAAATCATGTACAAGGAATTTCCCCATTTAGAATATCAATCACTGCTATTCATCTCTAGGGGAAGTAGTACCTCTTTTCTTTTTTATAATGCTAACCAGTGAATGTGCCTCAACTGTTCTCCAAGTTGGTTCCTTGATTTTCCTGCAGGTTGGCTCCTTGAGGGATGGCCCTGTCTAACTGCCTACTAAATATCTAATTAACTCACCTACTACAATACTAGCATCTCCCTACTCCAGAGTGCTGTTCTCCATGTCTCCTGACTGCTGGGTTCCAACATTATTGCACTGAGGAGGATCCCTGGGGTTCTGGAACTCAGCAGGCAATGGCCATCATTCTGAGGGGGGCCCTCCCCTCTGGTGTGATATTCCTGGGGAAAGGGCAAGGACTGGAGGGCTATCCCAAATGCAGTGCCATAGGGCAAATGGTGGGGGCAGCTTATTGTGGATTGGTAAGTGAACTAGATATCTTGTAGGCAGTTACACAGGGCCAGCCCACAAGGAGCCAACGTGGAGTTCAATGAAGACACATTCACTGAAGGCTAGTATTGGAAGAGAAACTACCACATCCATGTAGGACACATAACAGTGATTGATACTCTAAATAGGTATCAATCACCTGGGTGGGGGACAAAGATCTTCCAAGAAAGATCCCTGACCCACCCCTTACCACTGAAAATCCTTGTTCATTCCTTGTATGCTTGCTAAATGACTTGTTTCCCCATTGGATCCCCATTAAAAATATTACCTAAGCAACTGTTCTTGTAATCTTACTAGTTGACTACAATTTTGCCCCACCTTACCTCATGGCTTTGTCCCATAAAACACCTTTGAGAAGTTGGGAGAGTGGGCAACCCACTTTCTGGTTCCCCTTCTGTCTCTCTTAGAAGCTTTCTTTCTCTCAATAAAATTCTCCTACTCTTATTCCATGTTCTTAGAAGCCATTCTTTGATTTTAGAGAGCATGGACTTGAGTTTCAGACACCTACCAGGTTCAGGAGTTACATTGATTCTCCCTATAGCAAGCTGGCTCTTGAGGGAAGAAGAAGGATGCTGGCTATACACCCTAGTAGCAGACCCTCTGTCACCGACAGGCCCTGTCCTTTGTTCAGGAACAGACCCCAGAAAGCCAAGCCCTGGTACATGACTGAGGTCCAAGTCCACTGTGTCCCTCTTAGAGACTGTGGCGTACTAAGTCCCAGGGGCTGTTGGCAATGATGCTCTGGGTGCCACTGTCACCCAGCCCTTGGGATAGAATCCCCAGCCAACAGCCTTAGGGGTGAGGGGTACAGCACAGGCTGATCTATGTGCTGGACGCTGAGGACTTTTGAGTGAAAAGCACAGACCAGCAGTGCAGGAGATGCCCTGGGAGACCCCAAACACGCAGCTACTTCACTCTATTGTTCATCTGGCCCCTTACATTGAACAGCTGAGTGATGTATCATTAAAGTAGAAAACATAGGGAGTCAGTTTCGTGCACAGAGTACCTCTTATCCAAAATACTTGGGATCAGAAGTATTTCAGACTTAGCCTTCCAGAATATTTGTATACATATACCTAGATGTCTTGGAGATGGGCCTCAAGTCTGAACTTGAAATTCACTTATGTTTCATGTACATCTTATATGTATAGCCTGTAGGTAATCAGATACATTATTTTAATTTTTTCTTTTTGCATGAAACAAGTTTACAGTGTGGAATTTTCCAATTCTAATGTCATGTTAGTCTTCAACACATTTCGAGTTTTGGAGTATTTTGGATTTCAGATTAAGAATGGTCAACTTATATTTAAATACTCAATTTGATGGTCTCAGACAGGTGGATGCGGAATACTTCTCTCAACTCTCAGAGTTCCCCATACCATTGTAGAGTCACCCTTAGCCCATCCCAGACATCAGCCAATCTGCTATCACCATTGACCAGTTTTCCCTCTTCCTGACTTTTAGTGCACATGGAATCAAATGAAGAGTGCTCTTTGGTGCCTGTCTTATTTGGTGTGATGTTTGCATCCCATCCAGGCTGAATGTGTGTGTGTGTGTGTGTGTGTGTGTGTGTGTGTGTGTGTGTGTGTGTGTTGAACAATCTGTCCATTTTTACTGCCAAGTGATCTTTTGTGATGCATGCTGATTTGTTTACCCAGTTACCTGTATATGAACATTTGGGTTGTTTCTATGTTTCGATGGTTGTATTAATGCTTTCAAAAAAACAGTGTAATTTTAGAAAAGAAGGTGTGTAGTTTTCTGAAGAAAGTAAATGATGCTTGTTGGAGTATACCTGAAAAGTATAAAATGCAAAAATTCCTTATATTTCCTGAGTTCTTAAGTCAAAAGGATATTTTTCCGTACTTCTCCCAAACTGTCCCATGCATATGTGTGCAAAAAATTGTCAACACTGTGTCATTTCCAGATGTGAATTTGATTCCAATCCCCCCCCGTATCCAGATGTGAAAATATGTTTAGCAGTTACTGTTTGCTACTAATTGTTCTCAGTGTTGTTGTGTAAGGTTGTCCAAAGGCCTTGCCAGTGCCTGGGACACTTACGGTGCCAAAAGCCTTATCTTGGAATATTCTGCTTTTGTACCATAGGAAGAGCCCATGTCTCTACTACAGACTCAGCCTCCATCACTAATAAGCATTTACCTGTCCTCTCCATCACCAGTGAGAGGAGGGTGGGATGCAGGAATACAGAGCTGGGGTCAGGGTGCTCATTCACTGCTCCCTGGCCTATTCCCTTCCGGACAAAATGTGACGCGCCCAGTGTCCATCAGTCAGCCTAAATGCTAACATCCTGGTTAGCTCTTGTTCTCGAAAATTCAGGGAACTCCGGAGATTTAATGAGCTTTTTTATTCATGAAGTTTATCGGTCCATTTTATGTATACATTATTTTGCGTGCACATTCATCATTGAAATTCTAAAGAACTAAACATAGGCTTTAAAATAGACTTAGGGCTCCTTAAGGTTCACAGTTACATAATGCCTTGAGGTGGCTGTTATCAGTTTAATAGATTATCTTTTTTACTTAACTAAATTTGGTTTTGTTCCCTAGAAAGGAGGCTGGGCTAAGGACTAACCCCATTGTGCTTTGTCTACATATTTCATGCAGACACGTATTTCATGTAGACTGAACTAATAAATATTTTTAGGGCGTTTTCTGGGACAATTTCTTTTCCTTTGTAGTTTCTTGATTAGGAGTTGTACACTAAAGTAAAATTCACAAAGTATTAAAATAAGCTAAGCAGGAGAGAGTCTGCCACCTTGCCAATGACATTATCACCATTTCCCATATTCATGGGCTTGCTTGCCTTTTAATATATTTGCTGTTTTTTTTTTTCAGACATGTGCTGTGCTTATTGGTACATTCATCACATTTCATCTCCTAACAGGGGCATTAGAAAGAAATACTGAAGATGAGGACATGTGGCAATCAGAGCCTCTGTGATGGGACGCCAGTATCTCCAGGGAAGGACCACTGCCCATGCCTAGCCCTCTAATGCACCCATCCTTGTACAGCTGCTGTTCCTGTCTCTCTGCCTCCCTTGCCTCTCCACACTGTGATGTTCTGGTGACAACATCCCAAGGCCTCAGGGCTGGGAAGGAGATAACCATTGTCCACAAAGTGACTTAACACCAGGTCCCTGCAGGTGGACCAAGAGCTCTTCTGTGTTCCTTATGGGCTCACTTGCTTGAGATCAGGGCCAGGGGCTATCCTGCTTGTCACTAAGCCTGCTGTGGGATACAGCTGTGTGGAACAGCAGATGGGTGTGTGTGTGAACAAGTCAGAGCAGGCCGGGTGTTCCAAAGCAGGACCAGAAAGGGAGCCTGTGGGGAATCCCCAAAACTGCTGCTAAATGGGGTT